TGCATGTAAAGTAAAACAGACATTCCCCACTGGACATACCTGCCTTTTCTAACACATTCCATTTAATGAAAGATTAAAGAAAAAAAGCAGTTTGTCACAGTTGCCTCACCAAATTCAAATATCACCTCACTTCTAAAGCAAGTAAAATGCTATTTGTGTGCTAAGAGGCAAAGAGCTGATGAAAATCTGAAGTACATCATGTGACTGCATGAGCACATAATAGCCAGCCTTCTGATGTACCACAAGCCACAAAGAGAGACAGAGACCCTAAAAGAACAAATTCTATCACAGTAGCAAGAACTGGGCTTTGGAAAATAGAAAAAAATAGAAAAATAGAAAATATAGAAAAAATCTTTATATTCCTAGAATATAAAGATTCTTCCTAGGAAGCTGAAAAGGAGAAAAGGCAGCAGACTGATAGCCTCCCTTCTCGAGATGTTCATGCAGGACTAAAGCTCTAGTTCTTAGCAGCAGTCTGGAATTACAGAAACTACTATTTTTTGATCACAGTCTTTCATGATTGGCTTGCAGATTATTAGAGACAGCAAAATGTCTGTCTGTAACATTGTTTGGGAAAATTTACTAGTAGGAATGTTAGAATTTTATGTAACTCAGCAGATGATGGCTCACAGCAGATGATCAAAGTCTGACTTTCATCTACAACATCTTAAAGACCAAAACATCATGGATAATCCATGCTGACACTCTAAAGTGATTCCAAAAATAGAAAATATGTAGAAAGGATACACCTGAATATTGTGCTGTATACAAAGCAGTTTCAGTTGATGAGGACTCACAAGCTCTAACCTGCTCTAAATTACCCTTCCACAGCACCATTATCCAGCCACATTCTCAAACATACCTGCACTTCAGGACCCGAGAATCTGAGGTTAGAAACAAGGACTGGTTTTCAAAACACTGATCAGCACTCCCACACTTACTTAGCCAGGATGCCCAGGCTCAGGAACAGCTTGATAACTTCAGTGACACACACAGCTGTTGTTGAAAAGTAGAGCTCTGTCTCCACTGTCCTGGTGTACCGCAGTGCCACCGTGTACGTGGCAGCAACCAGGGTCATCACCGTGAGGCAGTACAGCTTGAACAGCAAGCTGACATTTTCTGAAACAAACAGAGAGACACTCAGTGTGACCCCCATTTTCATTTAAGAACTGAAACAGCGTGTTCTGCAGCTGGAGGGGTGTATCCAACACCACTGTGTCAGCAGACAATAATTACAATGTTAGGAAACACTTTCCATAAAAAAAATTTAAATTTTTTTATTCCTGGCTAAATTTTACAGCCTTCTCAAAGAAGCTTGTACAGGAACCCCAAGTGTTTGAAAATGAGATGCTCTCTTGCCCTTGTAATCATCCTTCATTCTAGAAAAAACGAATCATACATTAACATTTATCTAATAACAATCAAAAACTCTTTCAGTGCTTTCCTGCTCTCTAGCTGACAGTAGGCACTCACTCTGAAATGGCATCTGCTCCTCCTCGTGTAATATACTGAACTCTGACACACGGAACATTGGCAGACTAGCAAAAGCAAAAAGAGAGGAAAAGTTCAATATAAGCAAAGAAATCTAGCAAATCTTAATAAAAAAGGCAGCGCTTCTGTCAGCCCTATTTTCCACTCAAGTTAGTAAAAGAAGATTTTGCTCTGAATGGTGATGGCTCTTCACACAAAGGACTGAAGGACTTTCTTGAAAAAATCCCTGTGGAAAGGTTTAAGGTTAAGGCTCTTGAAGAAAATTAAATCACACAAGGACTGTGTATCATTTGTGTTATCCCCTCTGTCTTCCCCCCTGATAGATTCCCACAACAGCAGCAACACTTGTAACAGTTTTGACCCGGACCAATTACTATCCTGCAAAATTTTGGAGTTAGCCTGTCCAAGGTCCCTGGAAGATGGCAGTTTTTCATCCATCCACACTCCTCCAAGGCCTGAGAGCTCCATCAGGCCACTCCAGTGCACTCCCAGGTCAGGGAATGCTGAGCCTGGGAGAACAGCACACAACTCCAAATGGGATTTCTCTGCACAAAGGCAAAGCCCACCAAGAGACACCAGCAAATGTGTGGCTTCTACAAAATCCTTTTTCGCACTGGCAGATTGTTATGCTTGGCATCTCTCTGGTGGGTATTGGTCATTCAGGCAGCACCTTTGGAGCCACTGTCATGTTCTAAATATCCTAAGGAAATGTGTTTTAATTGGTCTAAGTTTGTATTCCTCAGCTGATTAGGGATTGCGATAGAGGATAAGTAGTTTTGTAATAACTTTGTTCATTTAATAAATGAACGAGTTGCTGAATCCAGAGTGGCCAATGCTTTGGTTCATGTTACTTTCAAACCAGAGATGTCTTCAATTGCATAACATTTCTGCAAGGTACAGTTAATACCTCCTGCCACTGCAATCATTTAAATTAGCTACTTCCTCATAGATAAAAATCTTATCCACGTCAGTAACCACTTTTAAAAGGTAGAGGCAATTAGTTTTTGGGCTAACAATGCTTAGAAGAGACTTACAAGCTGGAACTCATTTTTAAATTAACTTTGGATTGTGGGGAGGAAATACAAGGACAACCAGGAAATATAACTAACCCCATCTGGTTTTACAAAAACGTATCTTCAAATGATGTTTCAGTGCTGACAGAAATTATATTAATGCTGTGATCTGACACACGAAGATTTTAAGTCTATGCACCACCAAACTAAAGCTAAACTTAATCCTTGCCTCTAGTAACTACTCTTAAAAAGAAAAAAAAAAGCCCCAATTTGGCAATGGTTTGGAAACTTCGATAAGCCAAAGGCAGCAAGACATAACAAATCTAGTATCTAGACTAGACAGTTCTAGCATTATGTAAAAAGGTATTTGTAATTCTTTTTGGCCTGGACATTTCTTCGGCTGGCTCCCATGTCTGCATCAGTACCAGTGCAGTGAGGGGAGCAGAAGAAAGCGTAGCTGGGGCACCCATAACTTCTGCTGGATACATCTGAACTTACACCTGCCTAAAGAAAAGAAAAGCTGGAAGAAGCTATTGGTTTTTTTCCTAGTAAATCCCACCTGGATGAAATTATTTCTGGCAAAAAGGGACCAGACAGGCCAAAAGCCTCAGGATAAAAGTGCGAGCCTCCCACACATCTCCACGGCTGATCTCAGGGCTCTGCCAGGGCTCCTGAAAGGCAGCCCCGGGCCAAGCCTGGCACGGGAGCACAGCCCGCTGCCTGCCCGGTAATTTGGGGTGGCAGGTGCCTGACACACACTGCCGGGAGCCTCATTCCCCTCACACTGCCGGGAGCCTCCTGCCCCTCACGCTGCCGGGACCCTCCTGCCCCTCACCCTGCCGGGACCCTCCTGCCCCTCACACTGCCGGAAGCCTCCTGCCCCTCACCCTGCCGGGAGCCTCCTGCCCCTCACCCTGCCGGGACCCTCCTGCCCCTCACACTGCCGGAAGCCTCCTGCCCCTCATCCCGCCAGGCCCCGCCAAGCCACCGCCGGAGCTGGGGAGCCCCGGGCAAGGCCCTCCATGGGCGAGCTGGAAGAGGGGCAGGCGGCGCCGTCCTGGCGGATTGAAGCCCTCCTGGCTTGCCTGAGGTTCTGGCTTCGGGACCGTGTGGGCTCTGGCCTCGCTGTACACAGTATCCCTGAGAATCAGGAAATAAATTAGGTTGGGAAAAACGTCTGGTGTCATCGAGTCTGACCTTTGACCGGACATCGCCAAGTGAACTACACTATACCCCGAAGTGCCGCATCCAGTCTTTCCTTAAACATCTCCAAGGATTGTGACTCCACCACCTTCCTGGGCAGTCCATTCCAGCAACTAATCATCCCTTCTGTGGAGAAATTCCTCCTAATGTGCAACCTAAGCACACTCCAATATGCACCTGGGTGCGGCGGTGTTTCCAGGGACACCTGCGGTGCCCACAGGGAGGGCGCAGGGGATGTCCCTGTGCACTGACCGCCCGCGCCCCGGGATAAGCCCCAAAGATGCTGCGGCACGGTCAGAGGGGAACTGGTGGAGGGGGAGACGCGACTGTGGCGGATCCTAAAGGTGGAGGCGTCCCGGGGACCCGGCAAGCCCCGTACCGGGAGCACCCGCCCCCCACACGCCGGGAAGGCAGCGGTGCCACACCACGAGGAGAAGCTCCCGGCGGCGGGAGGAGAGCGGGAGGGCGGGAACCAGCGCGACCCCGCAGCCCCGCGTAGCCCCTTCCCCCCCTTCTCTCCCGCGGTGGTGGCGCCCGGTGCCACAGCCCCCAGCACGGAGGACAGTTCCACTCCCCCTGGCACGGGGGAGGCACGGGGAGTCTGCGCGCGGGTCGCGTTTCCTCTTGGGAAAGCGGGTGGAAATTGCCCCCGTTCTCCGGCCGTGCCGCCCACCGGGAGCCGCGGGACCCGTCGGGCACCCGCACCGCCGGCCTTACCTTTCGGAGGCGACATGGTGCTCGCCGAAGGCTTCAGGACCGCCGGGCCGGGGCCGCCCGCCGTGCCCCGCCGCTCCTCCCATCTTACCATAGAGTGCGGCGCGGCCGCCCAGAGCGCCCCGCCGGCCGCGCCGAACCATCGAGTCGAGCTCCGTCCCGCCTGGATATCCTGGAGAGCATCCTGCTCCACCCGGCCGCGTTCCGGAGCTGTTTCACTGGCAGCGAACATCCAGGAACCTCACACTCGTATTTCTCATTGCCAGGAGCAAGCTCGTAGCCACCGACACGCTTCTGCCGCGAGAAAAACCGAGATGGAGGTTATAGTTGTATTCCCCAGTATTTTACAGCACTGCAGTACCTTCTCCAGTGGAAAATAACAAAGTAGGATAAAATGAAATTTCAGTCATCGGTTTACTTTTAAACAAAATGTATTTCTGGATTCTTGAAACACCAGTTTGTTGGTAAGAACTGTAACATAAAAGCCTCAAAGCAAATTATGATAATATAGAGAGATCACAGCAATAATAAAGAAGTGAGATCGGATTTTTCTCTGTGGAAAAAAAAAATGAGCTGCAGCTAGTAATTGCATTGATATTTTAATTAATAAGTCTAATCATTGGTGACCTCTCATAATTTAAAAACATGGAGGAGCAGCACATCTAGCTGCTACTGATTAGTTTATTTTCCCAACAGAGAAAATCACGTAGTCAAAAACAATTTAGCCAAGTTCTTTCTTAGTGCTCTCCTTACACTCCTTTGGGTTTTTTTAATAATGCTTTGGGGATTAGTCCCTGTTGTGTAACTTTTAAAAGTGAAACCAAATACCTTGGAAAACAACCAGAGAGTGCTATCCTGCACAATGCCACAGAAAAATCACTCAGCAGCTTGAATCTTCATTGTCACAATCTTGTCTAGCTATGAGCCAGGAAACCACACCGCATCACAATGCACACACACACAAAAAAGATTTTGCACGCCCTATGCAATCACAGTTGTGCACCTGGACATCGTGCAGACAGCAGCTTGAGGAAGTCTTTATTGTCATTAATTTGTGTTTTCACAAACAGAAATACCATCTGCAGTTGCATTGATCAGACCTGGCACATAATTCTTTGCCACAGTGACATAAAGCTAAAAACTTTTTCTCTGTTGTGCTTTAGTTTTTCAAACACAAGCAAAAGCTTTCAAAAAGGTCCCCTGAAGTCAGGTTCTGTGGTTTGCAGTGTGCTCACCAGTACATTGTTTAGCCAAGAAATTGCTAGAGACCTAAAAGGGTGCCAGAACCACCCAAGACAGAAGCCCTCTTCTCAACCTCCCAGCCTTGGTCTGCACTCATTGGGCTGGGTTAATGCCAGCACAAACAGACAGCCCCAAGGACCCAGACTGGTTTCATTTTGTTGGTTTTGCCTTCTTGACAATTCTGCTCTAATGCTGGAGCTGTGACATTTGAGTGACTCTCCTGGGGTAAGTTTTTTCATTTAAAGACAGTATTTCAACAAGCAATTGTTGCATTAAAATGTCAGTAAAATCCCAGAATGCTACATATTTAAATGTTGGAAGTGAAAGTCCTTGGGAACATCTTGATTCTAAACTGCTATTTAAAATCTGTGCTACAGGCTTATCACTTCTGTCACTTAATGCCAGTCAGCAGTCCCAACAGATAAGATAAATGAAACAGACCAACTGCTCCTGGAATCAACAGACACAGCAAAATCTTCAGTGTCTAAATTCACATATATTCAGGATTTTTATATACACATTCAAGATGCAGCTTCAGGTTTCTCATTTTCACTTAAGTTTCATCCAGTGGCCTGGTTAAGTCTACTGCCACCATATGCGTGGTGGGAGATGATCCTCCTCGGAGGCCTCTCAGGAACACCTGGGGTTTGGGTACATTGCTCGAGTTGTCCCGCTTGGTCTGGGTGCCAGCTTCCTTTGGCAGGTACACTTGGGTGCAGTTCTCTCTTCTCATGTGGCTGAGATCAGTCTGCATGGAATGAGTTAACATGCGGCGCAAGTTGGCCTAAAGACGCAAAAAGAATCAGATTAAGCAAAATTCTGTTTGAACATTTTAGCACCAGTTTATACTCAGGAGTGTTTGTCTATTTTCCATCCATGGGCTTCACAAACCTGGGACATGGCCCACCTTACCCTCCTGTCAATACACGGTTGTGACTGTGATTTGGTAAATCCTCATCTAACAGGATGTGTCAACAGCACTTTAGGTGCCCCACACAATTTTAAATGTCTCTTAATAATTTCATATCATTGGTCATTGTCCTTCAAATTTTGTTAAATGCTTCACCTTTTTTTTTTTTGGTTAGAATAAAATGTTTTCATGGCAAGTGCTTCCAGTCTTTGCCTGGTTTCTGCCAAACGTGATGAGGTTTAGAGGCTGGTGTCACAAAGTATCAGATAAAAGTGAAAAAATGCCTTCTTATTACCACGTTGCTCACTAACCCCTTGACAAGGGGTAAAAGTTAGGGCAATTTATGATTAAAGCTGGTAATTCACAGAAATTGCCAGAGATACGGCAACAAAACTACTTCTCACAAAGTGTTAATATTCCAAAGCCAGCACTTGAAACAAAAAAATGTTCCTTTATTCCACTGAGCTTTCTGTGTCAGCAATAATGTAAAACACTGTAAATTATGATATAATGTTGTCCTCAAAACACACAAAATACAGTCTCATGCTGGAACTCAGGCCCCTGCAAATAAGTGAGGAAGTCCCTGGAGTCCAGTCCAGTCAGTGAAGACTGGAGTCAGTGGAAGCTGGAGAGTGATACAGGTGGCCAAATGTCCTAAGTGTTGTATCAGGGCAAGTTAAAATATTCTCCAGCCTCCACCACTGAGGTCTCTCTCTGCTGGAATGGAAGGTGAAGCACCTAAATGTAGGCACATTTTGGTACCTTAATCTACAACTGAATCTCAAATGCAGAGTCATCAAGCAGAATCCAGCAAAGAACAATAAGGAACTTATAGAGAAGATGCCATGGGAAGAAAGACATTATATTAAGTTTTGTTTTGTTTTTTTTTCGAGGGTTTTAATGATGGAATGTATGCTATTACAAGGAACTATGCTTGCACAGAGAAACAAATGTGAGCTAAAAATTTTACTTCTAACAGCATATAGGTTTTAACAAAGTAATAGGTTAATATTTCAAACCACTACAAGTTTTTTGGCTAAGTATGAACAACACAAAAAACACCAAAGGCATGTGAGCTCATCCTCTAACAAAACCCACAAATATGTCTGATGTTTTACTGAAGTATCAAATTCACTGATGCACTGGTAAACTATTTCTGTTATTTTATCACTTTGTTATTAAATGTTTTATCATCTCCATATTACAAATTAGCATAGTCAAAGCACTTTTGCATGCATCTGGGATTTTTTTCTTTCAGCTCCATATCACCAATCTCACATTTGGACAGCTGAGGCTAGAACATCCTTAGTACTTTAAAGTACTTTCTCTAAATACTTCACACTAATGAGCTACAAATTTGTTTGTGAATGGTCTTCATGAGCAAATATTGGAAAATATCCACTTTTGCTTATGCTGAAGAGCCACTGACCACATCTAATGTTTATTTATGTACTTTTGTCCTTTACAGAAGCAAAAGAGACTTTTAGCTAGGCTTCTTGTAAACCTAACTGGCTTCTTTACATACCTCAGTAACAACTCTTTCTTAGAATCCTTTATGAGCTAGCAACACTGGCAAGACTCCTCAGTCCAAAATTTTGGTTTGCTTTCACAATGTTAGAGATTTCATGGCAAAAAGGAAAACAGAAAGGAAATAGGCTGCCCAGTAGGCCACAGACCTCCACAGTGCATCTGTTCACAGAATTTAAAAAACCCTTTAGTGTTATATGTTCAGTTGATATTGTTAACTGCAATATTCCCTGTACTCACAAGTTGTTTATTTTGATTGCATTCTGAAAATCAGGTGTTATACCTTGACAACTACATGTGCTGGCAAACCCTAGAAAGAAGCTTCTGACATATTTACTGTTAATTTAAAAGTTTTTATGTACATATGTGGTCAACCTTCTATGGACAGACTGTGATTTCCAATCCATCAGAAAATCCTGATAGTATGACAAACATTTGCTTTGGCTTTTTCTCACAAAGAAATTACATAGTAGTATCTTCAACCAAATAAATTGATTTGAATGTAGAACAACCTTAATATCCAATGTAATTCAATTCAAAACAACAAACTCTTATTACATAAAGAAGGCAACTGAAAAATTTGAAATTAATAGATATAGAAGTGGAAGCACTGCTCAAAAAACAGGGAAAATATGTAAGAAGTGAGAGAAGTCTAAAAATAAGGAGAATATCTAGAAAAAAAATTGGACCAGTTGTAATGAAGTATATGTCTTTGACTAAAAGGTCAGATTTATGTTTCAAGGAACAAAAATTAAGAATAATTTATTATAAATTTGTTATATCTAACAATGAAAATCTGATAACAGTACAAACCAATTTTATAGCTTTTCTTCTCAGTTCCCATTCATTCCATTCATAGGATCTCACAATAGTTGGAGGCAAGATATGAGTATCAGTTTGAGTACCACTCTCACGTTTTTGGGGTGGTTTCATTGAACCTGTGCTTGCCTTTCTGACCTGGATGAAAAGAAACAACCAAAGCCAAGCAAGGCATTGAGAAGAATACACAGAAATAGCATATGGGTATGGTACTTTTTAAAAGCAAATAGAGACCTGCAAACCACAAGTGGATAATTATTTTTACATTCAACAATATTTTTGTTCCCCATGACCCCGCTAAAAGGAAAACATTAAGCACTTGGTGGATTTAATTTCTGACAGAAAACCTTTGAGACAGAGGTTGAGTTGCAGGCTCCTGTCTACTGAGTGAGTGCTTAATTGTTGGATTTTAGAAAAAATGGGTCCCATCACCAGTATTTTATGATGCAGGCACCCCACTTTGTCTTCATGAATGGATTCAAAATCACAAATCATAACTGGGAGAAGTGCACACATCTCTGCTATAGCTGGGATATAAACTATATTTCAAACCAAGGGCCAGTTCAAGACTACATTCTTTCCACTGCTAGGGATCTAAAATTCACAAGTGGATCACAGAGAATGTTGCCTATAAATCCAAACCAAGTCTTTGAATTTCCCAGAATAACACCATCACATTCATTATTGGTGACTCTCCTTTTATTTTTTAATATGTTCCACAACTTCTGTCCCCAGATACAACTACACCCTCATCCAGCACACATGGATGGACTGCTGAGCTAAAGCTCCACTTAATGTGATATCTGACATATCTTCTGTTGCATTTATTTACTGGTCCTTTAAGCTACTTTTGCAACAACGAGGAAAAGAAACATCAGACACAAGACCTGCCTAGGCTATGGACTAGCAGCTTTTATCACTGCCAGAGTGCATTGGATTTACATATTCTCCTATGAAGAGATAAGGTGAGAATGACACTAAGTAGAAACACTTCTTCAACACTCTGAAGACTTGTAAAAGATGGACCTGCAGACAGGCAGAGGATTTTACTTCTTTCCTAAAGATAGGTATCATCTGTTCTCTTTTAGAAAGGACAGACCAGCCAGTGACCCAGCAGCTGTTTAGCAAGAGGCACGGGCAGTGTGTACCTGTGTATGTGCAACAAGGTATTCAAACTGATGATGGAGCTCAAGCAGTTGAATTAGCTCTGCATATTTTTTTGCTTTTTCTATATTCAATTGAATGAACTTATCTGGATCTTCAGCAAAGATGTATGCATCTTCTTTTGAACTGAAAACATAGTATTTCTCCCTGTGCTTCAAAATTCCAATAGCAGGATTTCCTAAAAATGAGAAGAAAAACTAACTCAAAATAAGCCTCACAAATTAAAATAGTGTAACAGTATGATATCCAATAAGACATTTGTAATCAAGATTCTGTGTTTGCCTAGAGTTAGTTTCACTTCCTTCATTCCTGAACTCAGTATAAACTCTTAAAAGCAAGCTTTTTTAAAATATAGAAAACTGTATTTCGTTAGGTCAGTAAAACTGCTTTGATCAGTTCACATCCAGCATGCCTTAGGTGCATGTCTCAGAAAAACAACAGATAAAACACATATAGCAAAGGCCTAAGAAACCAGTCTTTACCCTCAAATGTTTCCCCTAAAATCTTCAGCAAATATCTGACTGCAGATCAGTAGTGCATTTATACCAAAGGGCATAACACTGACATGAACTGAAGAAGCAGATAAAGCAGCTGGGAAGCCAAACATCAAATTAAGAGAGAAAATGAAGTGTCAATAAAGGCCAAATAACTTATACAGGAAAACACAAACTGATTTCAAGGACAGAGGCAGGTTGGGCTTCAGATGTCATTGCCCAGGAAAGACCAGAATCATCACAGACCTTGAACACACTCAGTCAAAAAAGGAATTATTAGTATGCAAACAGAGGAAGAGAAGAAAACCAATATTATAACAACCTATAATAATATTTGTAATAATACATTTTGTTCCAACACAACAGAACAAGTAAAAGGGAGCTAGGGGTGATCAAGGGCTTGTGATACCTTTCATAGAAGGAGGGGTTAAAGAAGAAAGCCTCCTCAGCATTAAAAAGAAAAAAGAGATAATATGATAGGGGGTTATAAAACCATTAATTGTGTGCAATATAAAATTACTATTTAGTAATTTTCCTAACAGAAGGACTATCAAGTCTTTGTTGAAATTATCAAGCCAGAGCTTAAAACCATCTCAAAAAGAGGTACCTTTTCATAGCATGTATAATTATAATTGTGGGGCTCTTGAGAATAAGAACATCCCATGACAAACTCTAGATGGATTCCAAAATCAATTAGATAAATTAAAACCTCTTTGAAGGATTATTCAACAGAAGGTTACAGACTTAACATTAATCAGAGGAAATCCCATAACCACCAACTGCTAGGATTGAAAGGACATAATTAAAGAAAGATCACTCTGACTTGAATTCTCATAATTTTAAAGTGTTCATGACTGTCCATGTGCAGTAATCAGATACAGGGCTAGAGAGACCTTCAATCCAACTAAGGACAGCTGTTCTCATGTGCAGTACTAAGTGTAAGTAAATTACATTGCCATAAAAATATCTGTTCTTTAATACTGACTAGTAAATGGCCATACTTTCTTCCCAAACTCCCATAGGTTTAAAAAAATTCTATATGGACAGGTTCTAGAAAGGACAGGAAGATGGGAAACATGAACTAGGATAGCTGAAATAAGGCTAACTTTCAAGACAGATGAGCCTAGAGAGACCAAAAATTCCTACAATTAGTTGACTTAATCAAGTGCACTTCTGTATTCTTTTCAGGAAAGATTTTTAGTACTTTGTCATGACTATTTAAAATACATATGAGGTAAGCATGAATGGCTATGTTTACACATATGGATGCACAAAACAGAAGGAACTGCCATTTCCCTATGCCTGCACTACAGCACATTAATAACAATAACCAAACCTGTATTCAGTTGCAGTGTAGGTTATACAGACACACATAGAGCAGGAAGAAACATTTATCCATCCCATCTTGTTTCTGCCCCTGCTCCTCTTCAAGTGATCCTGCCTTCTACCAAGGGCAGTTTATTTGTGTATTTTAAAAAAGATACTTTAACAATGGAAATAAGTTACCTGGGGTGAAAATTGCAAATGTAGAAAAACAGTATTCCAGCTTTGACATAAGAGGATGCATTCAGAATGCCTTTACATTTTTCCTAATCCTTGTGTAAATATATTGTATGGAAAATATCTAACCACAAAGCATACCTGGTAGGATGATACCTTTCACACCAATTGAATGTGCACAGAAACCACGGTACTGGATCAGCAACTGATCAAAGTTATCAGTAGTCTCTGGAAAAAGCCATTCTTGGTTTGTGAAATCAGAAACATTCACTCTGGTTTCTAAGAAAAGATAAAACAAAGGAAGGACTTCAATATTAAAATATCAGATGTCTAAAAGCTAATGATATTACAGGATGACCAGATTACTCTGGTTTTCACAGGATGATCTGCAGTGCCCAGATCCCAGAAGCCAAAATTTCGTCCTGCCTTGAAAGCAAACCTACTGAAAATCAGTTCTGCAAGAACCTTCTTTAGTTTTCTTTGAAAACGTGGGACAACAACAGGAAGATAATAGTTTAATCTTTGATTTTGTTTTCACTCACACATGCATTACAAATGCCCTGGCATAAAACTTGGTTCCTGGGGATACCATCTTACAAACAATCCCTTCTGGTAACCAAAGCCCTGTTAAATCATTTTGTTTATACTCTACCTCTCAATTTCCAAAGTTCTGAAATGTATAAAAAGACATTAATACACTTCAAAAATTTTTTTAAAAAATATAAATATTCTCTGATCATTCTGAAATTTTTGTAAGGCATATTTGTATCTAGAAGCTTTTTTTTAATTTTATATGTAAAAATAGAATCACAAGCTACACTACATGACAATGTAAATCTATACCCTACAAGGCTCATTTTAATTTACTGTGCAAATTCTGAGTAGTGAATAATCAATATAGCACACCTTCTGTAAAGCACCTATTGTAAAGAAAATTCAAACTACAAAATCTTGGAAAATTAAGGAAAATCAAAAAGTTTCAACTTTCCATACCCATGGTTTCTTTTATCCTTTCCTCATCACTTTTCACAGTCACTCCTTCCAGAAGAGATGTTAGCATTTCCTCTGGAAAAAGCTGTGATTGGATTTCCAAGAATTGTTGCAGATTGTCAGCCATATTTGTGAGGAAGCTTAGCAGTAGCATTTCATCCTGAAAGCCGGCCCAAAGCTTAGAAAGTTCCATAAACAGAGGCTGGAACATAAAGAAAATTATCTGAAATACAGATTTGTTTTATGTCTACGGTGTAACCCAAGCACTGTGCACAACAATCTCAGCTATGAACAAAGCAGGGCTGATCTCCAAGGCCTTCAGCAACCAGAAATTCCAGGGGAACTCAGGGACACTGTAAGAGGAGCTTCCACCACATATGCCTAAAGCAAGTATATCTAGCATGTCAACCCACAGGCAAGAGTTGTACTTCTCTATATTTTACTTCAGAACCTTTCTCAAATAAATGTACTCTGTGACCATGCTTTGAATTTAGCACTTCACTGACAATACAGTTTTGTAACTGAAAACATTACAGGAGTAAGGACCAGAAGGAACACACCTGATTAATTACCAAAGTAGGTAAAACCACACCTCTATACAAACTACCAGGTTTGTTATTTTGTCTGCCCTGCTTCCAGAGTGAGTTGGCACCACAGCCCCAGCCCATCATGTGTCTCAAATGGAAGGGATGCAGGCCTCACCAGAGTGGTCCAGGTTCAGGGCAAAACTGGAGGCTGCCCTTCCCAGCACTGGCATGCTGTTGGCATACAGGTGTAGGCACATAAAGTAGCAGCCTATAAGCTTTAAGTTTAAATGCTGTTTTCAATAACAGTGACATAAAACGTGCCCTGTTACACCTAAACACACAGAGAGCATTTACAGCAAGAGATTCGGCCAATCTGAAATGCACACTTAACCCCACATTTTATGCATGCTAAGAACATTATCATGAGAGCAGCCAACAGAGCCAGCTCTGAAATTCATCAGCATTGCTAATGCTGTGGAAATGTTATGGTTACAAAAATGGAAGAAACTAAAGGAAGATCAAAAACATTCTTAATAGAATAAACAAAGAATATTAATGAAATTTACTATTTTTCCTGAAGGAAGTGTTTGCTACAAATATAGGCCTTATCCTATACTTTTTAAAAGATAGAATGCCCTGTTTCTCTACCTTTGTAGAGGATCCAGCTTGTCAGCAACAAGCCAAAGACAAGAAAAATTATTTAAATAGTGCGTTAATAAAAAAATCTCTATCTGAAAAGGACCTGAAATCAAAAGGCATTATATATTTTGTCTTCAGCAGAGAAGTCAAAACAACTAACCAACCAGAAGAGAAAAAAATTCCAGGAAGGCAGCAAACTACATTAGGCAGCTTTTAGGGAAAAGAATAAGATATATCAGTCACTCAAGCCCCACAAAGATACAGAAGAGGAAAAACTGCTTTGAGTAGCTGGACAAAAGGGGAATATGTTCTCCAAATGAGAACATCTGGTTTATAAAACCAAAAGCATACATAAATTGAAGTTTGGATAATTCAGTTGAAGTGCTGTTCCCATGAGTTTCCAGCTTGGATGCTCTTATGGGAAGTTTAAAAAACACTCTGAGTAGGAGGGGGTCATATCTTCCTCTTCCTCTGCAGTAGGCTTTATTTTGCTTTCTAATAATTAGCTTAGAATGTTAAAAAATAACCTAAAACATGTATGAAACTGTATGCTGGTGCAGCAGCCAACCACACAGAATTGGAATGATAATCAAATCACACAAAATAATGAGCTCTTACAAGAAAAGCAAATTTAAATGAAGCTGGTTTCTAGCATATTTCTCTCCTGTTTCCTTTATAACATGCCAGCATAATAATCCCAGGTTTTCACAGGCTCATTAAGCAGCCTCCCTCATAATACCTGTAGTTCACAGCACTCCTTCCCTTTCCCCCAATACCTCCTTCCCATGTCCTGTAGCTCCCAACCAAGGGTGCGACAGTACAGAATAACAATTTTTCAGTGGCTGCTCACTGGCCAGAGAGCACACAAACCCCATTTCAGACCTGATCTTGGTAACACTCTAATTGTGTATCTCTAGTTGCTCTTATTTTCCCCCCATAAAAATTGCAGAAAATAACATATTTTGAGATCTTTTGACTCTGACAAATGTGACTGAAACTTGCCAACAGGTTCAGAAGCTATTGGGAGGGGAAAAGAGGCTGACACCCATCACAGAAACCCAGTTTCTTCAGAAAAATTTTATCAATGACTCATACTGTAATTACAGGGATTGCTATGTGAGGGAACTTTAAAAGAATCATACTCTGTTGTGCTGTTTTCTGCAATCATTATGTTCTTACAGTTTCTGCAATGAACAGGAAAGAATATATACACACACAAAAAAGGAAATCTACAAATAATGACAACTCAAGACACTTACAGTAAAATACCATTTAATTCCTTTGCTCCCTTTTTGTACCTTACCTTTTTTTACCTTAAGAGCAAGTGTTTTAGTTGCCCCTTCAAAAATCACAGAATTTTGATATTGTAATAGAGAGAAAATTTGTAGTCTCTTGCTAAACATAAACTACTCAAAAACACACCTGCAAAGTATCTTACTTTAATAATGTTTTCTACTGAAGAAGTAATGGGTTTCCTATTCATAATACTTACAAAAACTTCTCTGGACTCTATGGAAGTCTTATCCTGCACTGTGTTTTTCAATAACATCATTGCTGCTTCAAACTGAACATTCAACGATTCAACTTCTTGAGCACTTGTAATTGCATTAGACTGGAAAGAGAACAACAGGCAAAATGTATCACACTCCAATAACCAAGTATTTAGTAACAAGTATTTACCCGGGCCTCTTCTTTCAACTATTTTCAGAACAATTGTTTTAGGGAACAAAATGTACTCTAGCTATCCACAAAATACATTTTTCCTTAAATGTTCAGGTGTTCAGGCACCTCAGTCACACATAAACTTCCAATTTTTATAGAAAATCCTGTGGATTTTCCCAATGAAGAGAACAAAAAGAAAAAAAAAAACATTTTTTCAATGCCTTATACAGGAAAGACTAATAAAAAACTGCAGTATCTCTAAAGACAAATGAAAAGCTCTTTGGTAATAAAACAAGAATTTAAATTGTATTCTCCAAAGACTTTTGATGACTCCATATATTTTGGGGGTGTCTGCAGACTAAAACTGAGATGATTTATGGATTGATTGATCAAGGAGATCTTTTTCCTCATGCCTTTTGGGGCAGAGAATTAGTATGCAAAGAACTGTTTAATGGTGGACTTGTGCCAGGCTCATTGAGGTTGGACTCAATGATTTTAAAGGTATTTTCAAAGCTAAACAATCTTTGGTTCTTTATCTAAAGATATATTTTATTTTATTTCATTTATTTCCAAATATTTTTCCTTATATTTCTGTCCTGTGCAAGTAGGTAACTTGAAGACATTCCACCTGCATTAGAAGTCCACAGGATATAACACCTCACCTGAAGGATGCAAAGGAAGGCTTCATACTGTCTCACATTGAATAGTGCTTCTTTTAATTGAAGAAATCTAAGCTGGGAGAACCTCTGGGGGTCCTCCTGCATGGCCTCCAGCAGGGCTGTGTAGCGGTGGGCCAGCAGCTGGCAGGAGTTCAGACGCTCGTCGAGAGTCCGCGTAGCCAAGGGAATGGCTTCGCTCAGGATCTCTGGCACTAGTCATGTGGAATAAACATGAAATGTGTATAAAAAGAATCAATGAAGTCATTATCACATGGTTAAAGCGCAATATTTGAGCATAATGGTCTTCCAATTAAATTTTGATTTCTACATTTTGTTCTTATATTCATGCATTTCCAAATTCTTGCAAACCAGATTAAATCACCCTATCACACTAGTCAGGTTGTTGCAAATATTTAGAATTACAGGTGTGGAAATACCACAGTCAAGTCAAGGAATGTGAGAAAACTTGCTTTATGGTAGATGCAACTCTGTTTCTACAAGTGCCATGGGTTTCCTGAGAGTATCTGCACAATTTTCAATTCTCAGTTTCCTAATTTGTAAAATACCAGTAACAATAACACGCCTCCCTGAGATGGGAAATTATTGGAGCAGCTCCAGTAAAAAGTCCAGTAGAATGAATTGGGAATACCCAGCTCAAATGCAGCTGTTTACTTACAATCATCAATGCAGCTTCCTCCTTTCTGGCACTGCTTGTTGTACAAACGAATTCCTGTCACTAGCATGGCAAGATCTTTCAGCTGTTGTTCTTTGTCCTTCTTACTGAGTGAGATGAAAGTAATCATTTCTGTCTGGGGGAATATACTCTGCAAGGCAGCTGTAAGCATTACAAAGTGAGAGAAAACCCTCAATATGAGGGAATAGAAAAGAAAATCATTAAATAAGCAAAAATAGCCTCTCCTAAACAAAAGGAGGAAATATATGGGAAATTTACACTTCAAGGCTAAGTAGTGACAGTTTGGACAGCAAGCATTCATCACAGTTTACCCCATTTGTATGTAAATATCAGTGAAGAGGAAGTGAAATTTTATTTTTTCAAGAAGAAAAGCCCAATTTCACAGCTGGGGGTTTACTGACCTGTTACCTCCCTGACAGCCTCAATATCTGTTGGGGATCCCAGGCCAGATCTCAGCAGCACATAGGCAACAATCTTTTGATACATATTCTCCATTTCTTCTCGTGTGTGTGGACCACTCTCAGTGACGGCTCTAACTACAGGAGCCAGTTTTCCTTCCAGAACATGCTCCTGCTCACTCAGTAATTCATCTAGGAAAGAAGGATGCTTAAAAAGTGCTATCTAAATCCTTTGAAATTTGCCCTATACAGAGGGTGTAATTCATTTCCACAGTCAGAGCACCAACTTAAGGTTTCTGAAACACAGGTACATGAAAGAGATGTTTGTAGTACCATATCATTAGAATTAAAACCAGCAGAGTTAAACACTAATGGTAGGTTAATTAGCATGATTAACATCAGTCAGTATAGTCCTGAGAACCATTCAGGCCAAGCTAGACAGCAAGTCTCTGGCTCTCTGAGAGTCTCTGGCTCTCCTCTGACTGTAGGTGGACTTAACATACACACACACAATATTTCAAAGACGCCTGAAGTTACATGCTCAAGTTGGAATCCTCCTCAGGATCTCAAAAACTTGCTGGAGCTACTGAGCTTACAGAGTTCAGAGAATTTAGGAGAAGCTCCCCATGTTACTAATTTTTGGTTTTAATCCATGCTAACAGGAAAACATTGTCATTATCTCCCCACAGAGCAATGCTTTTTTCACGTCTATGCCTGTTCTGTGTCTTCTATTTCCCAGCCAGCCTCCACTGTCCCTTTGAGATCAGGAATTACATTTACAGCAAAGGCATTTTCTCCATCTCATTTTATTTTCACATTCTCATTCTCAGATCATGTGAAATTACTACTGATGAGAGAAAAACGTACTCAGCTAAAGCTGTAACTGATTGTTCAAGATTACTCAAATCTCCCAGTTAGGGATATTGATAAAATACTGAGTTCTGAGGGCCTTCAGACACACAGGTGCAGGTGCAAGCTTTTCTTGCTGAAGGCAGCTAACCACTGAGAGTGTAAGTGTCCTCAAGCAACCTCATACATTATATTCAGTAAATCTCTCAGACAGCATGAGAAGAGTGTACTCTCAAATCTAATGTACACTTTTCCCTACTATATCCATACTGAAACATCAGACTCCTGTACAGTAAATTTCTCCTGGGATTTTATTTTGTTTACTGACAGGATTCATTTAACAGTAATTACTATTCTTATATTATAAACTCAGCGCCAACTTCTATGAAAACATATTTGAAATTACCTCGGTTTGCATAGTTCATATCAAAGTAAACTTGCATCTTAATTGTGCTTAGGGATGGGTTTGTTGTGTCAAGCAGTCTGGTAACACAGAGCTAAAAAGAGAGTCAGAGAAGTGAGTTCTTTCTCATCTCTGGGGAAACATCTGAACTGACAGTGACCTACTAAAGGTTTCACAACATCTGTAGAGCCCCCTTACTACCATTTTCTTCATCTAAAGCTTTTCTAAGGCATTTATTTATGGAAACATAGTCCAGTCTTTAGCTACAGAGCCATGAGAATAAAGCAGCACTCAAATTTTGAAAATGTTCATGTAATTTTAGTTAACAGGAGCAGAAAGCAAATAATGCTATAGTCTTAAATAAGTAGTGACTCTCAACATCATGTCAGAATTACCTGGATAAGATCCTGGATATCGTTTTCTGTAAGGCTTCGATCCATATTAAAATCATTTCTTGGATCTAACACAACAGCTTTCACCTAGAGATTGCCAAAAGAAAGATACTAATTTATGTCCCAAAATATCATCTTTGAAACTCACTTTTTATTTTCTGAAATATCTCAGATGCATTTAATATTTCTTTACTATTTTTTTATCCATTTCAGTCTTTGATAATGAAACAAATTACTTCATTTCACATCTTGCCAGTTTCAATCTCAGTTCTCAGGCACAAAAAAAAAAAGTGATACAAATATTTAAATATAGCTTCTTTAAAATTTACTTGGAAAATATTTTCTTAAGTAATATTTTTTTGAAAATCCATCATGGTTGTTTATAAACTTCCAAGTCGGTGCTATATGCATTGATATAAACATTTACCATTTGAATAAAAAATCCCATAGTGTTCTACATGCAGGAAAATAAGTGCATGTTTGCAATTGGTGTTCATGCTAGGTGTCTTGCCAGCCACTTGTACAAATTCTTTACTCATTAAAATTTTCCTGCTTAATTGATTAATACGGCTTTTGAGCCCAATCTTTTTTCTAAAGCTGCAGTGTCACCTTTAGGGGAAAAAATAGCATATTAACAGTACTGCTGTGAAGCATTCACATTTATATACAAGTTTAGCAAGAGCTGATCTTCAATAAAAAAAGAATCTTTATATAAAAATAGCCAATCTTTCTTCAGACACAGCTTTGCAGGCACATCCAGACTATATTCTGCAGCAGTGCTGTGTCTCCTACGAGATGCCAAAATGTAAAATGCTTTTAGGATACTTAAAGTTGTCTACCAAGGACAATACTGAGATTGAATTCATTAAATTTTCGCTTTAAATGTGATCAAAGCAAATTCCTTCAAATATTCAGCCCATTTATAGTACCTGGCCCTGTCTGAGCAGAGAAACAAAATTATCCATCACAAGAGAAGGAGGAGGTGAACATCGAAGAATAAATATAGCTGCTGCATTAAACATTCACCTATGCATCACAGGTTCATTCATGAGAGTGTGAAGAAACGTTGTTAAAACTTGGTAAAACTTCTCTTTTTCACTTCTGAAAGAAAACAATGGTTTATCTGCCTGCAGAAGAAAGCTCCGAGTTGGAGCTCAGAGAGTTTTTTTGCAGGACTCAGAACCTGCAGCCTTCTTGAAGCATTATATTCCCATAAGATTTCAGGGGAATAAAATACTTTTCCAGGTTTTTAGGAGCCAATACTGGGGCTGAGTGCCCCTTTAAAATATCTCACTGCAGGCAATGGGAAATCAAGGTATTCCAAGTTCAGGTCACCCCTGACAGCCTCAGCTGCCGCCAGCCCCTGAACGCCTCCTGTCGCGCTTACCATGAAGGCCACCAAGGTTTCCGAGAGGCTTTGTCCCTGGGCAGAGCACTCCAGGCCCACTTGGCGGATTATTCTCTTGAGGACACTTTGGGTCAGCTCGCCGGACATGCTGGCCAAACACGCCGGCCCTAACCGGGTTACAGCCAGCGAGGTTTCACTGCAGCGAGGGTCCCTGCCGGCCCGAGCCCGCCGCTTGCTGAGCAGCCTGTCTCGGCGCCGAAGCTCCCCGGTGCCGCTGTCCCCGCGCCGGCCGCTGGCCACGGGCGGGAGAAGCCGCGGCCGAGCGCCGGCCCCGGGCGTTGCCATGGGGACGCGGCCCGGCCCGGCCCGGCCTGCGGGCGAGCGGCGAGACCAGGCGGGGATGGGGATTTACACATGGAGCACAGGGAGACAGGGTTTGTGCAGGATAGATGGGGCGGTGTGTGTGCAGAACGTACACGCCTGCATGCACTCCAAGGACGCGGCTGTGGAGGCACAGCAGCGGAGGTGTGAGTGTCTCGGCACGCACACAAACCGTGCTGTGGACGTCTGCAGCTATGGCTGTATGCAGCTGTGTCTAAATGTACATCCATATGTATGTATAAAGACACATACATACCGTATATATACCTTAATATCACAGAATTGTTAGGGTTGGAAGAAACCTATAGAAATTATCCAGTGTAACCCCCCTGCCAAGGCAGGGTCACCTGGAGCAGGTTACTCAGGAATGCGTCCAGGTGGGTTTGGGAGATCCATGATCTCTCTCTGGGCTGCCTGTTCCAGGGCCCTGCCACCCTCAGTGTAGAAAAGTTCTTCCTCACGTTGAGGTAGAACTTCTTGTGCTTTAGATTATGGCCACTGCTCCTCACCCCTCTCACTGGGCACCACTGAAAAGTGTCTGGCACCATCCTCTTGGCACCCATCTTTGAGATATTTATGTGCATTAATGAAATCCCCTCCCAGTCTTTTCAAGACTAAAGAGGCCCACCTCTTGCAGTCTTTCCTTATGAGAGACATGTTCCAGACCTCACATTGTTTTGATGGCCCTCCTCTAGACCCATGTATACGCATAGATACAATATATATCCCCCCCACCATGACAGTGGGGGTCAGAACTAGGTGATCTTTAAGGGCTCTTCCAACCCAAACTGCTCTATGAATGGTCTGCTTGAGGGGGGCAGAGTGGGAAAAAGAAAACCTTCATGCCAAGCAAGCACACAGCCAAAACACCTGTGTGCTAACAACACACCAAAAATCCAAAGCACAACATCACAGGGAATGCTGATAAGCAAGCTAACTCCATCCCAGCCAGACCCAATACAGATAAAGGTATTTACACAGCTATAAATGCATACAATACATAGATAAATTCACACATACATGTACAAACAAAATGTGTGTATGGTACACAATGAGTGCTGCAGGCAGAGGCAGCACAGACGAGGCAACTTTGCAACACAAGCAAGAGAGCCATCTTTGCTTTCAGGTCTCATGGTTGCTGCTGGAGGTGGCAGCTCCTCTGGGTGCAGTGCCTGCAAGTACTACAGGCCACAGCCTGCAAGCAGCAGCCCAGTGAGCCCCAGGTTCTTGCACACACCGGTGGGCACACCACTGGATGAATGCACTGCCTTGCTGAAAGTGGTTCAGTTAGTCAATATGCAATTAATTCTAACTTTTCTGTGTCAGATAGAGTAATAGCATGCTAATTAAATTTAAAAGCCATGTCCCTGAAAGGCAATCTAATAAGCTCAAAAGGCACAGGGAATGTAGGGATAACAGATGAAAAGCTACACCAGTTTTCCACTGATTTAATTTTTTTCCCTTTGATTTACACTGTCAGACAGAGGGAACTCCATTGAGAATCATGAGGAGATCAAGATGATAATTTTTTTCCACTGTGACCTCAGACAGTCACTCTTATCAGTAAAATTAAGATGATACTATGCTACCTGGCACGTAGCTGCAGGGTTACATCCATGTTGTCAGTGTGTGTACAAAGGTACAGTGCAAGGAGTGCCAGCATAACCCATGGGAAATGCTTTGGGAAGGTCTGTGGAACAGGGACCAAAGCAACCCTGCAACAGACATTGTGAAGTCTTAGGTTTCATTCTAGTAGCACAGATAATGGGGCTTCTTAATATGTCCTCTGCATTGCTATTTTTAAAATTCTGTACCCTTAAGCTCAGTAATTATAGCAAGACTTTCATCAAGAGCATAAAAATCTAAACCTCTTTTTCTGCAAATTGCTGGATGAGAAGCTTTTGGGGCCCTTCCTGGAGCAGAAGTGTGTTGCTGTTAGTGAGCTTAGGGTCACAAAGATTTTCCTCTGTGCTTCCTGGTAAATCACACAAGAACCAGCTCTTCTGCAGATGCAGGTGGGGAGGAGAAAGAGGAGAAGAACAATATAGTTTTGGGGATTAGAAGGAGAAAGAGAAGGTGCCAATGCCAGCTCTCTCCCTACAAAAGCAAATTTCAAGTCAGTCATAAACCTTGGTGCTCAAAGCAGTGCTGGCAACACTTCCTCCTGAAATTATCAGCTAAAAGTGGACAGTCTTATGGAGTTCAACCAAATGCTGTCGGCAGTAGCACTGGAGGTGGAGCTTGCAGAAAGTCAGGTCCCATCCCATAACAGTCAGTGAGACTTTTGCTGACACCTTCACAGGCTTAGTACACGAGTATTTTCAGAGAGAGCAGGAATCTGCAGGTAGGATTTGCCCAGGTTTTTAGTATGTATGCAGAGCATGTGTAATTGTGCAATTTTGGCTTAGCAATTTAAGGACTCTAAAGATGGTTTACAGACTATTTCAATATATGTCTGTGTCTACATCTGCAATTAGCACAATCTGTGCAGAACATTTCGTGCTGAGGACCTGACAGCCACAACATTCCTACTTCAGCAGTTGTTACTTCAGCCTAGCTTTGGTCAGGTCCTAGTGACTGGTGCTTTGTTTGTGGCTGAAGTGCATTAGGAACACTGCCAGAGATCTTCTTCAAGGTTAATTTCACACAAAATATTCACATGCTTAAAGCCTGCTGTACTATGCAAACCAAAGCACAGCAGATGAGGACTATGTGGAGATTCTCTCAGTGAACAGGTGCTTGATCCTAAATTACAAAACCACACACCTTAACATCCCACTTCCCCCTACCCCAATATTCACAGTCATGTTAGTCTACAGGAATATTTCCTGGGGAAAAAAAGCAAGCTTTCTAAAAAGCTACCAGTGCTTGTTCACATCCATAAATCCCAGCAGGAAATGCCCAACTGCCTGTACACTTTTAGGCTGCAGGCTGGAAGGAAAGAACAATATCTTTTCAGTTTAGCATATTGAGAGTTTAAAGTCTTTTATTGTTTTAAGCATTTCAGTAGTATTAACCTATATATCACATAGCACTAGAATCCAAAAGAAGGGAAGGGGAAGGGGAAGGGGAGGGGGAAGGGGATTATTAATTTTCCAAAGAAAAGCATGCTTTCAGGGAAGGTTTGTAATCTGTACTAGACCACAAAAATTGCTTTAACTTATTTGTAACTTACTCTTCAGGTTGCTTCTTCTTTGGTTTGTTTTCTAACCAAATCAGTTGGATTTCTCTTGTAGAATTAGTATCAACTTTTAAACAGTTGCAGGAATGGAGGCCTGGTACCTGAAAGACAGACAAACTCTTCCCCCTGGCGGCGCATGTGAGGCATTGACAGACGGTCAGTAAAAAGATTCCTGGATTGTGATGGGAGGAATTCCTGGATAAGTTTGAAGAGTCATTAAAAACAACACACACGGTTGTTTTTAAATCTCTGTAAAGTTTGACACCCTATTGCTTTATTCATGGGAAAGCATATCAGCAATTTGATGAATGTGCTATCACATTAAACTGGGCATCAACTCTAGGAAGTCACCCCTTTATCTGCTATAAACAGAAGATGGGATTTACTTAACAAGTTGCTCAAGTCTAAGCACATACCCTCATTTTGCTAGTGTGGGGACAAAGTTACAGCTGGCTGCTCTTACACCACTGATGTGCAGAGGAAACAACCCAGAAGCAGCTCATGACTCAGCAGTCCAGTTCAGGGCACGGCCTGAGGCACATTAGGTGAACGGAGAGCTTGCACCCCAGAGGATAACAATTGCCAGGATGGCAAAAAGCACTGCTTGCTGAAGCTTCACCCATTGCCCTGTGCCCAGTGGGGATGCTGGGCTGAGCAAGAGTCTGTCTGAGTTCCCTTAGGAGAGCCACATTCACTAAGGGATTCTGCAATCACTAATCCTCCAGTCATTCCCATTCATGGCTGATCTGAAAGACACCTTCCAGCTCAGTTAGCCTCTCTCTGCACTCAGGCCTCCTCTGACTGGATGCCCTGCTGGTGAATGAGCCCTAGCCCCTAGGCCTGAAGGTCTTCTGCTGCCATAAATACTCCAAGTTAAAGTTCTTCGAAGATGACACACCTAAGTGAAAAGATTTACAGCTGACAGGGCAGGACACAAGCAGAAGCTGAGTCCCTTTCCTCATCTCTGAAGTTAAAACAAAAACTGGGTGATGCAGGTTTTTGTTTTCTACTCTTCAGAGGCCTGAAATTACCTTGCACCTAGATGCAGAAACTAAAGTCCACTTGATTACACTTGGTTGTTTCAAAGGAGCAGTGCAAGGAAAGCCTGTCTTCACACAGGAATCTAAGGCCTGTCTCTACGGAGAGGAAAACACATTCCATCTATCTGGCTTTATTTCCAAAGTGTCATGGAGAAGTGTAACAGTCAGAAATCCATTTTGTGAGGACAGACAAGTCATGCCACCTCTTTTAGCTTGTCTATTAGTTCACTATAAAGCTGACTTTCAGAGAATGTTTTGGTGCAAGGATTTTTAATATTTCTTCCTCCTCAAATCTGTGTATCAACAAATGGAAACCTCTGTGCTTGTGCTGCCTTGTTTGAAGCACAAAGCTGTGGTGCTGGCCAACCATGCTGACCAGCTCAGCTTTAATGACATGTTCATACAAGAGCATGCAGTGTTATTTAAAGCTTCCATGACTCTCCTGAAAAGCTATGTGAGTGGTAGGTATGTAACCACTGCAGACTCATTGAGGCACAGTGCAGACTAATGGTTCACATTCAAAGGAATCCTAGTCAACATTTATAGCAATTATTTAGCATATAGTTTAG